CTGCTTTCTCTAAAGTAGAAGAAACCAATAAATAAAACCGAAAGCTATTAAGTGACAAAATAGGTAAAATTTCTCTGAAATGAAAAAAGTGAAATGGCAAAAATATAGAAGGCATCCAAGCAGAACATTCATGTCATCAAAAGGAGAAAAATACCAGGATGCCACAGGATTTCTTACGGCAATATTCAGTGCTTGGACTTAACAGAGAAATGTGTTCACAAATCTGAGGCAAGGAAGGCATGAACCATTAATAACACTCCCAGAAAAGAATAAAGGCAACAGTCAGACACCTGAAGCATGAAATGTTTCAAGGATTAAAAAACCAACTAGCACTATTACAGTTCTTTTAGAATCTATCTAACCAATTTTCTCGCTTTTCCTAGAAAATCCCCCATGCAGGGAAATAAAACAAATCAAAACTAACAAACAAAACTAATTAAGAATACAAGAAAAGAAGGAATGATCTGACTAATAAACTGAGAAATGGAAAATCCATAAGGTAAAGAAGACTTGTGATGATGAGGATTGCAGCCATTTATATGTAGAATGAAGACCAAAGACAAGAGGCAGTTAAAGTTGCAGAAGAACCAAATGTAAATATTACGAATTCTGACAAAGTTAAAGTAATATAATTATCAACAACAAACTGGAAATGAAGAGAAGTGAGGACAAACTGGAGAGGAGCTAATCATCTTCAATTACACTGCAGGGAGTTAACAAAAGCTATCTGAAATTAAAACATGAAGCTAATGCATTCAACTTCTTAATGGTATTTATAATCTTTTTTTCTTAATCATAAAGACAAGTTTTATTTTAAAAAGTTCTTATGATAAAGAAATATTTAAGTTCAGCCATTTTCTATTTTTCATTTTTTCTATAAAATTACATATATTAATTACAAATAGTCTTCATGTATCTATATATTTTATTCTTCTATTTGTGCGAATATATAATTATATAACTGTGGTATGTTCATGAAATGTTAACAGGTTTTTTTTTTTTTTCTGAGTATAAAGACTTTAGAGTGGTTTGTGTTTTTTTAAACTTGACTCAAGTAATTACCGTAAAAGCATTCACTTTATCTGCATAAAATATCTAAATATAATATGATAATGATAACCATGTTAATAAAATGATTATGAAAGCCTTTAGATATCTATGTATATGAATTAGCTTGCACCAAAGAAAGAAACCTAAACAGAGGAGGAGATTTGCTGTGATACTTAAAACAAACAGGTAATGAGGTTAGCATGTTGCATAATCAGGAAAGACGTTTGCTGTGCTTGCCTTGCCCCACGGCTTTGTGTCTGAACTCCATAAAGAATAATTGAACACGCAAGTTGCAAAACTGGTGGAACCTAGAACTGGGTTAACGTCACAGTGAAACGAACATGATGAGAAAAGCAGAACCTTGTTCAAACCTCTGCTAATACGGGTGTCCTGAGAACGCAAAACGTATTTGCTTAACTGTGGGCTTCTCAGAATTTGAATTATCTGGTAGTAATTCCTCTGTCACCATTACCAGTCTGTCATGTAGAAAGCTGGGATCAGTGGCCGTGCTGAGATACCACCTCAACTAAGAATCCTTGAACAGGAAACAAACAAACCAACCAGGAGGGCTGTTCAGTACCCCTCAGAGAAGAGGTTCCGAAAAACTACATGATGCAAATTTTGCTGGGTAGAAGTTAAATGTATGTAATTTGACCACATTACTACTTTGGACTCATGGAACCCTGGGAAACATACTCCAATTAAGTTTTTTAAAAGTCTGAATATTAGATGTCCTAAATTCCTGATATTTTAAATGTTTTGACCTAAAGTTGGACTAAGGGCCTTGAAAATAGATGCAGAATGTTATCATCATTACCATTTATATAAACTAGCCCAAATTATACATCCTTTGATTTCTTCTTGTCTGAATAATATTATATATCTAACTTCACAAATGTTCTATGAGTAATCTTCTCTGAGAATAAGATTAATTTTGAAAAATGCCAGATATAGGTGATGGGGAGGAAGGCAGCAAATCACACTGCCATGTGTGTACCCATGCAACAATCTCGCATGTTCTTCACATGTACCCCAAAACCTAAAATGTAATTAAAATTTTTTTGAAAAATACATTGAATTCTAAGATATTTCCTGGATATACTATGATATGTTTTTCTATTTAGTTTTTTTTAAATAGACTACTTAGAAAAGGTTAATATTTGAAAAGCATGAAGAAGGGTATAAATTGCTGAGTCTAATAATATAACTTTAAATGTCTGTAGATATTTAGTGATGGGGAGAGGGTGAGAGGAGCTTGTAAAGCTGGTCCAGCCCATAGTTGATTAGGTTAGGTGACTAGATGTGTATCATGGGCAACTGCATTTTCTGTCCAATAAATCTCTTTATTATTTTTCCATGTGTAGGACTAAATGCCTGTACAACCAAGTAACTGTAAATATGAAAATTCTGTATGTCAGAGTGGAATACTGGCTAGATTTAAAGAAGGCAACAGGATGGCATTAATGGAGGTTAAACATACACAATCACACACAGAAATCAAAATTATTGTACCCAGCATTTTTTTTCTCTGAGCTTCATTGAATCTTACAAAGTGCCTTTTAAACTTTCTAATAGATTTCCTTACGTTAGAAATACAGGAACTTTGGAATTTTATCATAAAATTATTGAGTATATGAAAATGCATGAAAAGACTAAATGTGTAACAGAATGTTTAAAATTAAAACTATCATTTCTACTTTTGTTACTGAAATGGTTATGTTCTTCCTTAACCTAAGAGTTAAGCACTTTGGCAAGGTTCTACCCAACTCACTTAATAATGAACAAACTAAGGCTAAGAGAAATTGTGGCTACCTTTATAGAAGTAAATAGGCTTATGACATTCATGGACAAGTAAATCATAATGTGAGAGGTGTTTATAAATTATATATTTTTTCTTTTTTAAAAAATATTATTTATTTATTTATTTATCCAACTTATATTTTAGGTTTATAAGTTAGTTCAGCCACTGTGGAAAGCAGTCTGGAGATTTCTTACATATTTATTTTTGAAGCGTATATGCAGAGAATTTTCAAGAAGTACATGGGTCCCCTCCTATTTCTGTTCTTGCACCAGATTTCCTGTATGGCTACCAATGTGCCCACCTTTCCCATGCTTCCAACTTACAGAGAGACAAACAATAATGAGAGAAGACACAGGAGGACCAGCATCAGGGCTGGGCTATGAAAGGAAGCACATATTCTTCGGTCAATACAGTAGGTTTTGGAAATGCTTTTGAACATGAAGTTAGCTTTCCCAGGGATGAAAATTAGGAAGCGCAACTGGCTATAATGTGAGTGGACTCAACCCTCTATGGTCCATAGATGGAATCCACACATATTCCTGTTTCTCAAGATAATCCTAATTTGACACCTGTTTTTATGCTCTCAGAAATGAAGAATTTGTCTGAGAAGATAAATTCTAAAACCTGCCTGCTGTAGAGCATTTCACAGTCATTTAAATTTGGTTCCCAGCTAGTCACTACAAATGAACCTAAAGGACTTCAGAGATAAATCATTTTTGCTGACCCTGGACTTGTCAATAGGATGCGTTTTCAGAGAAGCTTTGGCCTATGCTTAGTCTCTCTTTCTTCCTATGTTAAGCAGTTTCTTGGTTTTCATATGCAAGTTTTTATTCCTTCAAATATTAAATTATCTAATAGTGCCAAACACAAGAATTCAATAAATGTCAAAGATGGTGACTTTAAATGAAAGTAAGACACTAATATATGTAAGCATGGGTTTTTTTTCCCTCCTTTTCATAAAACAAAATGAAACAAAATAACTAAACTTTTTATTTTAAATTTAATACTTTTTAAAAGTTTAATTATGTAAGATCAGGTATTCATACATCTGTCTACTGTTTTACTTGTCTGACAATATCTGGAAAGTGAAGTAGTGTCAAAATAAAATTTCTAGTACCAGAATACAGTCAATACAGTATGTTAGACAGCTGTATCAGTTTGCATATTTTAAAAAGGAAATTTAAAATTGATACAGTTATCCTAACTAAATGTTTTATGAAAAAAAATCCTTTGTTGTGTTTTCACTTTGATACTTAAGGAAAAATAACTTAGATACAAATTATTCAAATTATGGCTCAGTATGCAACCCATTTGCTAATCTTCTACATTTATTAAAATAGTAAAACATTATTTTAGTCTAGAATAGACGTTCACATTCAAGAAATAAGTATGACCTTCTTCCCACTTTTATTTAACACACTTTCCATTATTTCTAACTTAATAAACTTATTTCCACTAATATACAGTATCCCTCAGGGAGATGTGTAATAGATATGAAAAATTCTAGTAAGTTTTTTATATATCCAAGAATATTTAATACCTTCTGAGGGGTAAGGTACATAAGCCAAAAAGAACATTAACTAAGCTACAATCTTAATTTTTAGCATGCTTCTAAGAGAAAAACACAGGCAGCACATGTGCACACACATATTTGAAGGATAAATATTCTGGCTTATTTTACACAATGTACATAGAAATAAATTTAATTTCCACATTAAAATTCTTTGTCATCTCTTTTAGAAAATGCATGTCTATTAAAGCTGATGTGATATAAAATATGTTGAATTAAAAGCATTAATTCAAATCAGTGCCTTTTTGGAAAAATTACTTAAGACATATCAAATGCCCCCTTTGGATTTACTATAACTTTATACTTTAATTTCCAGTGAAAATAGAGAGGCACATTTTATAGAGCAGCAAAAGTAATACTGCAGGTTAGTTCAAAATGGTTTTCTGTTTTGTCGGCTTGAAACTAACCTTCTTCACTAATTTTCAATTATTTTATCATTTTGATTTTTAAACATAGGTGTTTAGCTTAAGGAAACTAAACACATGCTGAAGAGATAAGGGGATTGTATCCTCCTATTTCAAGCTAAAAACATAACCTCTAAATTATCTTTTACAGTAAGCCAAAGCCAGTATCACATACCTTTCGAGAATGAATTTCTTTCACATACAATGGGAGTAGAAACTCAGATATACCTTCAAGTCGGATTCCCTTCTTGGTGACTCTCAGATTTCCCATACCATCCTACAAGCAATGAAATATAGTTCACTTTTAGGTTAATTGGAGAATGAATATCTGGCCATAATTTTCTTAGGCCTAAATTGAGAAAACAGTGAGCTCAAATCAGTGATGATTTAAGGAGAATGAAATAATGAATCTACTTAATTAATGATTGCAGCACTTTGCATGCATACAGAGGGCTCTATTTAAAATGAAAAAGAAGATTTAAAGGACTGTGTCTTCGTCTAGCTTTATCAGAGACTAGGATTTGCCCATGAATAAATCCTTTACTTTTTTCATGCATCAGTCAGTTCAACTATTTACTTTGTATAATGATACTTGCTACCTGACTGTTGGAAAAAACTTAGTTTGCAGAGAAATCTAGTAATATTTTTATATTATAGTTATACAAATAACTCTAAAATATTCTGAATCACATTTGTACTATAATTTTCACAAGTAATTAATGATAGTCTGATATTAGTAAGTATTCAAACAATGAGTAGATGTATGTCAGATCCTTTAGAAAATAGCAGTTTATGAGAAGGAAAAAATGGGTACACAAATAATGCTTATGAGTCAGAATAACATAACTAAACAGCATGCTATTGGGAATTAAAGAAAGAGGACTTTATATCTGGCAAATAGTAAACAATGGCTTATGGAAGAGATTGACTATGATAAAGTCATTAAGAATGTGGAATTTCAACAGGGAAGGTCCCTGGAGGCTGGAACTAAATGAACATGCTGGCAACATTTAGGAAATAGCATGCCATCTGATCTTACTAATGTATGAGATTTCTATTTTTGAATATTGGGAGAGAAAGCAATGAGGAGTCCATTCTGGGGACAGAGAAAGGAAATCCATACATACAAAGCAAAGGAGAATGTAATTAAGTCAGATTCCAAGAGAAGACACTTTAAAAGTTGTTATATAGTTCAATGGCTTGAAATGATTGGAGGCAGGCTTCAAGATTAATCTGGCAGAAGTACTGTTTAGGGCTGATACAGTATTACTAATATTACATAACTTGGTAGTAGTTTGAAGAATGTAGTGGAAGAAAAATCTACAGACTTGTTGACTAATTTTATGTGGAGACATGAAAAGGATGAACTTTTAAGATAAATCCAAAGTTTCATCACTAAGCATGAATAAGAAAATATAATGATTTTAAAAACTAAAATAGTAAAATTTGTAAGCTCCATACCAAAGTAAATTTAGCTTTTCACTTTCTAACATTAAATCATCATGTAAAATTGGTTTACATATATATATATATATATATATATATATATATAATTATACACATAACCATATATTGATCACACATAACCATATATAATTGATCACACATAACCATATGTAATTGATCATATATATCATATATAATCATGTTAATTATGATTAGACATAATCATATATCATTATATACATGTACACACATATGTATATGTGTATCTGTATATATGTGTGTGTGTATATATATATACAAACACACACACAAACACACATACATATACATATACACACACACATATATAAACCAGCCCATCTGTAGAAAAGGATGAGGACATGACAATTGAGAAATATCTGAGTCTATCATTATGGATAAGCAAGCCCAACATGGACAGATTTATATAAAACCAAGCAGAAATTCTTAGATGATATCAGTGGGTTGGGAAAACTATATTTTACATATTCAGAGATGTTGTGATCAGTATAAGAAGTAAGTTGAGGGAATATAATGGCCCGACCCCTCCAAAAAAGAAAGCCATTGAGGTAGTATTATGTAACATAATGATGTCAGCAATAGAAAATATAGAAAAGTTTTTTTTTTTCTTTTTTTTTTTTTTTTTTTTTTTAATGAGACGGAGTTTCGCTGTTGTTACCCAGGCTGGAGTGCAATGGCGCGATCTCGGCTCACCGCAACCTCCGCCTCCTGGGTTCAGGCAATTCTCCTGCCTCAGCCTCCTGAGTAGCTGGGATTACAGGCACGTGCCACCATGCCCAGCTGATTTTTTGTATTTTTAGTAGAGACGGGGTTTCACCATATTGACCAGGATGGTCTCGATCTCTTGACCTCGTGATCCACCCACCTTGGCCTCCCAAAGTGCTGGGATTACAGGCGTGAGCCACCGCGCCCAGCTTAGAAAAGTTTTAAAGGAGGAAAATGAATCAGATTTAACTAAGAATTGAAGGACTTTTTAAATTTAAAAAAAAAAAAAAATCCAGACTAAAGGATAATGACTACAGAGCAAGAGGAACATTTGGAGGTGGTGAGATTTGTATTGTCCTCTAGAAGGAGAAAGTAAGGGATTTGGGTTAAATTAAAATTAGAATGAGAGTGAAGAAATTTGTTCTTTGAGGCAAGTGAAAAAGCTCAAAACTGATGTTGGAAATACCTTACAGGGAACCAATCCAAAATGAATAAATAAATGAATGAATGATTTCAAGTGGAATTGAAGAGTTATTTAGATGAGAAAATAAATATATTTCTGGTAGGATGATAACACATCCTGGTTTCCCTGAGACAGGGCTGATTTACACCAGTTTTATGGTGTCCTGTTAAATTTGAAAAACTGAAAAGTATCTCAGATTTAGACTTTCAATTACATTACCACCCAGTTATTGGCTCTAATAAGTATGGTTTTGCAGCACTGCACTTATCTAAGAACAAAAACAGAATTGACAATGAGAGAAACTTAAAATTGAGGATTTGCTAGACAGGAATTATAGAAAGTCATAAAGATGTGGTATTCTTAAAGTGACAAAAACAAAAAGATGTTTTCATTTGACTAACCATTATTTTTCTCCTTAAGTCATGACAAGGAAAGTCAGAAGCTGTGTTGGGTTACCAAAACAATGCAGAGGCAAAAAATGGCAAATGGTGATAAACTAATAATGAAGTTCAATAGATGGTAAGAAATATGGGAATTATAATATGAAGACAGGTTTATCATTAGAAAATGTAATTTTGCATTTGGAGATCTTGAAGTTGAAAGCATTTTCAGACATGATAAGACCTACAGAACACCCCCAGTGGTGGAGGCAAATTTAAGAATACACAGAATTCTCTGGTATCCAGGAAGCTAGGAATATTAATTAGAACTTATAACATGACATGGGGCTTTAAAACATTATTTTGTCTAAGAGGAAATTTCTCAACTAAATTTCACACAGTGACTATCCATATTTTTTCTTAAATCCCTGTCAGAAGGAAATATTCTGAAGTGTTCCCCATAGAGTTGTTACAGAAATACCTAATGTCACTGGGAGATTATCTCAGAGCAATGGAAACAAGTTCTAACATAATTGTAATTCCCATTTCAATATTAATACTAAAAAATGTTCTGATGAGATGATTGTGATTAGAGAATCAGGCACCCATAGTAAAGTGAGATATTTCTCATGCTATACACATATTTGATGTTGGAGTTTTCAGTCTTGTGCTTCGTGTGTTTTCTTCTTATATTTTCTACTTAATATATGATTTCAAATATACAATTATATTTCATTTAAATTAGATAAAACCGAATTAGCATCTGTAAATGTAGAACTGTTCTGATAATATCATGTCATGACTCTAACCACACTTCACTATGTCTATTTGTTTCTCCTTTTGTTTTTTCCGGTCTTGTATGAAAAAAATGAATTTTCAAGTTTTTCTGTATCTAGATGAAATTATAAAATGTACAAAGCTGTACAACATATATAATCAACCTGACCCTCACACAGTAACAATTTATGAGATGATGAAATTATCTAGTTTTCCTTCTGTAAGTGCATTAGAAATTGAATTTATTTTTACTGTCACTACAGTTTTCTGATTCATTTATTTTCTTGATCCCTTCACCTGAAAAAGAGAAAATTATTTTTTGATTTTCTGTTCAGGAAGACATTGTTACCAGAAGGTAACAAACTCAAATGTACTAGACCCAGACTTTGTCCTGGTTTCTGCCACCTCCTCCTTTTGTTAAATGTCAACCACTTATCACTTCGTGTCTTAATTTTATCATCTGTAAAAGAAATAGTAGCATAATTTATGTGCCTATTTTAAAGATTACATGAGGATGTAGAAAGCTTAAAATAGTGCCTAATTTATGTCAAACTACTCAATAGTTTTAACTATAACATTTTACTTAAAATTTTAGGTTTTGTCATGTATTATAAAAATTCATGTTATTTATTTTCAGAGAAATTATCTTTGAATTTCAGTACAATCTACATCAAATTTCATCGTCATTATAGTTATGATACTCTTGTTCATCATCCTGTAATGTCACACATTGTTATGGTCCGGATGTGTCCCCTCTAAAATTTAGGTGTTGAAACTTAAGGGTCAATGTGATAGTATTAAGAGGTGGAGTCTTTAAGAGGTGGAGTCTTTAAGAGGTGATTAGGCCAGGAGGGCTCCTCTTTTGTGAATGGAATTAAGGCCCTTATAAAAGAGGTAAATGAGGCTTCATTCGGTGTTTAGACCTCTTGCTCCTCTGCCTTCTCCCAGGTAGGTCACAGCACCCCTTCCCTCTGGAGGGTGCAGCAACAATGTGCCAAAGTGGAAGCAGACAGCACCCTTATTCAGAAAACAGAACCTGCTAGTGCCTTGATCTTGGACTTCCCAGCTTCCCAAACTGTAAGAAAGTATTTTCTGTTTTTCTCTAAATTACCTAGTCTCAGGTATTTTGTTATAATAACAAAAACTGACAAGGGCACATGTGATTTATCTAATTTTGAAAGATAGTATAGTGTTATTTTGGAAGGGGATATGAAATCAGACATTTTGGGTTTGAAACCTGACTAACTGTTGAGTTTGACATGTTATCTATCTAAAGCTAAATGTGTATTTTATAAACATCGGACCAATAACAGTATTCTTCACAGGGATGCTGTATTAATTTAATGAGATATTATGTAAATGAATTAGTTTGGACCTGGTATCTTTTTAATCATTATTCCCTTTACTTGTGGGTTATTGAAAATTAATATTTAAAAGTAGATTTAGTTAGTATCTAATCAACACATT